GCAGCCTTCGATTTTCATTTCTAGACTTCCTTCGATTGGGAGTTCGCACCAGTGAGGTCATAGCCTTCGATTGGGCTTTGGCACCAGTCAGGTCATGTACTTCGATTGGAGGCTGGCACCAGCATGGGAGTGCCTTTCGTCTGAGCCTGGACTTAGTGCAAGTGTGCCTCTGGATGGGCCTTTCTGCCTTGTTGCCTTCTTCAATTGGGCCAGTGAAATTAGTGTAAGCGTGTCTCTGGCTGGGCCTGGAAGTCAGTGTATGGTTTTCCTCCTGGTTGTCTCTTTCGTTTGACCTGGAGAAAGAGGATAGAAGCCAGAAGCTTCGTTTCCTATTTCCTGTTTTCTGTTTCTTTCATTTAAAGCATTAAATGGCAACATGGCCTGAGGCCATGCTAGTATTTGTTTGGTAAACAGTTTAACAGTTAAAGCAAGTTCAGGTAAACAGAAAGCAACACGAAAGGGTTAGCTCTGAAAAATATGTTAAAAATGTGGGAACAAAGGAACAATGGTATGTACATGTTTGAAACGAACGAAAAGATTATTTACATGCCATGAAACGAAAAGTTCAAAGGTAAGAACAACTTACCTTGCTTCAGGCCTTGAATGGATGTGGGATTCGAACCTGAACTGCTACCTGGACGTTTCTGGAATTCGAAGAGTAGTCACAGGGGGTTTGCTTTTGGTTCTAAGAGTTGTCACAGAAGGTTGTCTTTGAGTTTGAACAAACTTCTATGTGTGGGGTGTTCTTCAGAATCGAAAGAGGTGAGTGTTTGGGATTCTGGGTTTTGATTTCTCAAGTGTTGATGAACTTGAGAGTTTTGTTGTGTTTGAGAAAATTTAGGGGATTAGTTCCTCTGGTCCAAAGATTCTCCTTTAGCTTTGCAAAAATTCCTCTATTTATAGAGAAAGAATGGACATGTTGTCCAAAGGCATCCTTGCAAATAAATGATAAAATAATGTAACGTAAAAGTACATGTGGGGGCCCCTTGGCAGTTGGGGTGCAGAAAATAATAAAATAAGGCCCAGCTGGAAAGTAAATGTCCACTTGTGCCACAAAAGTAAGATGAATGGTTCAGATGAGGTTGCTTCCTTCTGAAGGAAAATAAGCGCAAGGCTCAAGACAAACTTTTCTAAAAGGTAGTACTGTGCTATTAAGTGCAAGTGGTCTTAGACAACAAATGAGTAAAGGCCTAAAAAGGGAAGACATGTGGCCTAGCCTATGGGTCTAAATGTTCAACTTGATCTTTTGAGTCGAATCCTCCATCTTTCTACACCTTTCGACCAGACTAGGACAACACGGCATTCGTTTTCACCAGCTGTGTGTCCTTCGAATGGATTTCTTATGTATCCTTCGAATGGGCCTTCTTTTCCAGCTTCAAAGTCCAATTCGAATATATTTAGAACCTTCCCTATTAGACAACTTCGACCAGCCCTTGGCCTTGTGATGAGTCTAAGTTCTGATTTGAAGTGTTCAGAACTTCCTTCATCAGGGCATCTTAGATTAGGAGAAACTCTGCACTGAAATGCCATTCGAAGGTCATTTCGTTCTGATGTTCTTATTAAGGGAAACTCTGAAGTTCCAGTCGAAGGACACTCTGAAGTTCCAGTCCAAGGACCTTTTGAAATTCCAATTGAAGGGTATTTGTCCATATACCAATCAAAGGGTACTTGTTAAAATTTCAATCGAAAGGCTTTGTTAACAGGCCAATCGAAAGGTGTTGTTCATGCTAATCGAAGGACATGGTTAACATGTATGTCGAAGCTGCCTTGACACAATGCTAAATCGAAGGATCCCGTGGCATGCCAATCAAAAGGCTTGGTCCAGGGTGCCAAACGAAAAGGTCTTTCAGAATTCCAATCGAAGGCCTTGACACAATGCCAATCGAAGTGCTTGTCCATAATGCCAATCGAAGCATTTTTGGAATGTCAATCGAAGTGCTTGTCCATAATGCCAATCGAAGGGAATTATCCATGCCAATCGAAAGGCTCCTTTAGAATACCAATCGAAGGGTCTTTCAGAATGCCAATCGAAAGGTACTTAAAGCACCACTCAAAAAATTTCTTTTTCCTTAGGCAAGGGTTTCTGGTCAACCATGCAGGGGGAAGACTTTGGAAAACATGAGAGGGCAAATTTTGGGGTACAACACACCATCACTTTGAATTTCAACCGAGAGATCTCTGACACCGCTCCTCTGGAGGTGGTGCTCGGTTTGGTGTTGCTCGGATCTTTAAAAACCCGTTTGATATGTCCCTCAGCTCGACCATGGCAGTGTCGTTGTTGGGTCTAGTTGTTGGGTTTGGTTTCAAAAACTCGTGAGGGTAGGCGTACTCTAGTTTCGACGGTGAAAGTTAGTTTCATTGAATAACGTTGATTTATTTCTGTCGTCGTTTTCTGAGATGTTTTAACCGTTCGGTGGATTGTTTTTTGTTTTGATTTTCTGGTTATGCTTCAGATCTATTGAGATCTTTAGAATTCAAAGACTTTGGAATTTGTATATGCTTCTATAGAATTTTCATATGATTAAATCAGTTTCAATGAATTCGAAATGATTTTGTGTTAGAAATTGTCATATATTCACTGTCTGCGGCGAGTTGTGGGTTCGGGAAACTGTTATCAAGTTGATGGTCAGTTTCAATTGTCATTCTTTAAGAAATGAGTTTGTTTATCTATGATTTAGTCTGATGCTTTGAGACGTGAGCATGCATTTCTTTTGTATTCTAGTTTTGTTCTCCATGTTAAATTTACTTACTGATTTATGTTTCGTGTGTATAATCCTTAAATATTTGATTTCTTTTAATATATTATCCTTTTAGAATTGATTTTATGGTTGCTGTGTTTAGTCTATGCTCCACAACTTTTATAATTCCTTTTATATATATATATATATATATATATATATATATATATATATATATATATATATATATATATATATATATATATATATATATATATATATATATATATATATATATATATATATATATATATATATATATATATATATATATATATATATATATATATATATATATATATATATATATATATATATATATATATATATATATATATATATATATATATATATAATATTTGTCTTATTAAAAAAAATGTGAAGTATAAACATAATATTACTAACATTAAAAATATAAACATATTACTAAATCTTAAACAAAAACAAACACAATTTTATATCTCTTGTTTTAAATTACTCTTTTTATCGTTATTAGATTTGAAAAATTAACAACCTATTAGCAAAATGGAAAATTCTTAAGTAAAAACAAACATAATATCTGACTTTATACATAACTAATCACAATTTTTTATTAATTAAAAAATAAATAAATAGTTTTCTCTCTTCTTTGATATTATAACCATTCTATAAATCTAATTAAAATAGATATTAAAATTTAAATATGAATATAAGATTGTTTCTAAAAATTTCAAATTTTCTCTACTTTTATGGTTGTTTCTAAAAATATAGATATAGGATTATTTCTATGTAATAATTTCTCTAACAAAATTTAATTATTTTTTAAGATCCAAATCTACACAAGACTGTCCCAAATAATTTAGAGGTTCCGTTCTATTTTAAAATTAAGTCTTTAATAGATAAGAACACAACAAATTAAAAAAATATTTTCATTTAAATTATAAATAAAATTAAATATATAGAGACATAACTGATATAGAAATATTATATAGAAATTTGACTTATCGTAGTTTAGTTTTTTTGGTTACATTTTTCTACACTTACTATCTTAGATTTATAGAAAAGTTCATACCATTAATGAAAAGAAATGATTCTTTGAACAATTTCAATAATATTAATAAAGAATTTTCAAAGTCTCATGATTATTATACCAAATTTATTAATGTGTTGATTCACAGTAAATTATTCTTCTAAATCATAAAATTGAATTAATGAATTTATTATGTGAATTAAAATTGATTGACTAAACAAAAAAATCAAATTATTACATTTTAAAAAAATTCATATATCTATAAAACCATTAAAATTTTAAGACATTATATTATGCAATCAATCACATTGAACGAGAGACGGATACTTATTCATATTCATGAATATAATGATACAGTAAAATAAAAATTTTAATTAGTAAAAAAACTTGTAAAATAAATAGACTAAAATAAATTAAAAAATATTTTAAATTTAATAACGAGTATTAAAGGAAAGAATTGATTAAAATGCCTCCATGTGGGAGCTATGTTTATTAAAATTCATAATATATATTCCTTTGCATATATTAAAAAATAATGATAAATAAAAGATACATTAAAATTTTTTTTATGTTACTTATATTGATTTGATTAGTTTTCATAGGCTATTTAAGAAGATTGGTTTGATCAATATTTTTATAATTACAAAATTATTATTTTATGCCTGAAATGAATATGTATATTTCTTTTATTTTTTTATTTTTTATAAGCGTATATTTCTATTACTGAAAGAAGTATTTTTTGCTATATCCATTATGGATGATCCAGCTAATATTTCTTTAATAACAAAACCACCCTTTATTAGTATTAATACTTTGTGATATGAAATTTGCTTATGTTGATCTTCAAGTAATCAAAATCAAAGATTCAGTTAGCATCAACAGATTCTTATGAAGATTCAGCTATTAAATATTTTAAGACAAAAACAAATCTGAGTGACTCTGAAATACATCTCATCTCATCACTTGTTTAGAAGATAAATGTCATCACGAAGGAGCTTGTCATGCTACGTGTAACACTTACATGCATACATACACACAATGTTCAAACTTACCGACCAACATTTCCACACGTGTAATCATGCTTAAATCGTTCCTTCCACGTAATATTCTACACCGACTCTCCCTCCTCTCATATATATACATGAAAATTCATAGCACTCTAACTCACTAAAATATCAAATCTTCTTGGTAATCATATCAAATTCAAAGCATAAGATTTCTCAGTTTTCATATCATATCAAAGCATAAGAACAATGGCATCGAGTAAAGAATTCAAGGAAAACAGAGCCGAAGCAGCTGCAAAGCTAGCTGCAAAAGACATCGGCGATGTAAACAGAACAAACGAAAGAGAACAAGGTTACAATCTTCGGTCTGAAGCACAGTTTAAAGAAGCACGAGCTGAAGCAGCTTCGAAACTCGCTGCTAAGGATCTCGAAGACGTTAACAAAGCGAGAGAAAGTGGATTGAATGCACGTGAAGAGAAACCGGGTCTAATTGGTTCGATGTTTAAAGCAGCAAAAGAAGCTGTTGTTGGTAGGGGTAACGAAGCTCGTGAAAAAGTGAGAGAAACTTCAGATTATGGTGCAGAGAAAGCGGGGACTGCGAATAAAGCCGGAGTGTATGCTGATTATGCTGCAGAGAAAGCGAGGGAAGCGAAAGATGCTACTAGTAAAGCTGGACAGTATGCTGATAATGCTGCAGAGAAAGCTAGAGGAGCCAAAGATGCTACTAACAAAACAGGGAAGTATGCTGATAGTGCTGCAGAGAATGTAAGGGGAGCCAAAGATGCTACTGATAAAGCAGGGCGTTATGCTGCTGATGCCTCAGAGAAAGCGAGAGGAGCGAAAGATGCTACAGATAAAACTGGGGAGTATGCTGCTAATGCTGCAGAGAAAGCAAGAGGAGCGAAAGATGCTACTGATAAAGCAGGAGAGTATGCTGAATATGCTGCACAGAAAGCGAGGGAAGCGAAGGCATGGGAGGAGAAACAAAATTATGCTGCAGAGAAAGCCAGGGAAAACGAACAGAGGTATGCTGCAGAGAAAGCGAGGGAAGCGGAAGCAGAGGCGTCCAGAGAGTATGCTGCAGAGAAGGCGAGGGAAGCTAAAGATGCTGCAGCGAATAAAGCGGGAGAGTTTAGGGATTATACTGCTGAGAAAGCTAAAGAAGGGAAAGATGTTAGTGTGGGGAAGCTTGGGGAGTTGAAGGATTCTGCTGCTGATGCTGCTAAAAGAGCTATGGGTTTCTTTACCGGAAAGAAAGATGAAACTAAGGTTTGTTATCTTCTTTGACCACTTTTCATCACTCTTTTAGTATTGGTGTTGTGTCTGGTGTCCGTATCTGTGTTTGTATCTGTGTTTGTTATAACAGTGTGTCATTATGGTGTGTACAGGAAATGGTGCGTGAGAGTGAGGAAGATGTGAGGAGGAGAATGGATGATTTGAGGATGGAAGGAGGAGGGAGGGGAAGAGAGAAAGTGGTGGTGGAGGTGGATGAGAGTCGTCCGGGAGTAGTGGCGGATGGGTTGAGGGAGGCGGCTGAAGTGAGGACAGCGGGGGCGGGAGTTAATCAGAGTGGTCTGGGACGTTTGGAGGAAGAAGGCACAGTTCATGTTGAGCGTCGTCGTGAGAAAATATGATCATATTGAATGTTGTTGCCACCATATCGCTACTGCTACATAATCACTAGTTTGTTGTTTTGTAATATAATGTGTTTTGTACCTGTAATAATAATATTTTGTGTTGTTTACTGTTTTTAAAATCAATGTTATTAATTATTCAACCAAAATAAATCTTCATCTTATTAATCCATCTTTTACTTTTTTTTGTTGGTTTTTTTTTTTTTTTTTTAATTTAAGGGGGTGGTATTACTGGTTCATAATACTTTTTTAAAAAGACTAAATAAATTATATAAACAAAGAGAGTAAAGGCATAAGACATGCCATCTCTTAAACTGCTACAGCGGTCCAAACTTATACATTTTAAATGCCAACAAAATCCAAACAATTTTTTTTAAAACAACCAATAGTCCAGATTATTTCGAAACCGGTCCAATCCGACCTACCCAAGGGGCCTGTTAGTAAGCGGTTCGGGTCAAACGGGTTATCGGATAATCGATTTTGCAAGAAATGGATGCATATGGATTGTACTGATCGGTTTCGGATAATTTGTTTGGATCCATCGAAATTCAAAACCGACCGGCCTAGGTTACAGATTTTCAATTTTGTATTTCATTTTTCATTTCAGTTTCACAGTCTCTCTCTCTAATCTGTATGTGCTGCTACTGCTAGGGTTTCACCTTCGTCGTTTATGACCGTCTTCTACCACCGTCGTCGTTTACGATTCTCAAGCACCACCATGCCACCACGAACCACCAACGATCAAGTAAGTTCTTCGTCGTTCTCTTTCTCCTTCTCTCTCTTTATCTCTTTCTCCTTCTCCCTCTTTCTCTCTTTCTCTATCTACCTCTCTCTATTTGTCTCTAACTTAGCAGAACACAAACCGACCGATCCAGGTTTTAACCCCTGTTTCAATGGCTTCTCCTTGTATCAGGTTTTAACCCTATAGAAAGTAGAACACAAACCGACCGATCCACCCCTGTTTTAACCCTAGTGCAGCAGCTTCAATGGCTTTTTGCTTATTCTCAAGAGTACAATAGTAAGAATATAGAATCATTCCAACCATGACTAACAGAATATCCATTATGTTTGTCCAGCTGAATAGATCCTGGAGCAAAGTATACCCAAATGCTAATATAAGGCATGACCCTACACTCTGATCTAAAAGTGTTACTATAGCTTTTGCTTTGTCTTTTATAATTCCAAAGAGTATATTTTCTTCTATAGTTCCTGATTGTATCCATGCTGATTGGGAGACATATGCAGCAGAACCACACACTGACCTGCAAAATAATCCAATGTATTTCGTAAGAACTTTTACAAACTGAAAACTAAGGGTCTGTTTATAGCATAACCGCTTATCATATAAGTGTTTATGCATAAGCTGTTTCTATAACAAAAGATGAAATAAAGTCAAATTGTTTTCATGTAAGCTATAAGCTCTCTTCATAAGCTAACCTGGAGAGCTTATGGAAACAAGCTGAAAACAGCTTATAGACATGTCATAAGTTGTTTTTATATGCTCTCTCAAAAGTATTTATGCTAGAAGATAACATCAACTAAGTCAATCCAAACAGCCCCTAAAATGCAAATAAACAAATATAAATAACTTTTGTATTTCAGTTTACCGATTTAAGGCATGTCTGAGCTTGCCCTCCATGTGTTTGATGAAAAGCATGAATGACACATTGGTTGTCGTTGCTATGTTTTATGATCTAAGGATTGAAAGGTCATCCTCTAAGCAATTCGATATCACTGCCATCCTCTAAAGATAAGTAACTCTTATTGGTTTTATTTACTGAACACAATGGAAAATTGGCATGCAATTAATTGCATATTTGATGGTTTATTCTGAATCTGTTATTTGAGTTTTAATTGAAGTTTTTGTCATAATCAAATGATATGTCAATGGCCGGTTTAGACAAACTGTCTGACTTATATTACAACAGTTTTAGATGGCCGGTTTGGAGTATTAGATGGCCGGTTTGGAGGATAACAGGTACTTGTGACTGACGGTGTGGAAAAATTCTCGAGTAGGAACCATGTTCATGGCGTTGACATTGTTTCCGAAACAGTTGATGGTTAGCTTTTAATTGCATTTTGTTGACATGCCTCTTTTGAATGAATATGGTATGTACTTGTATGAATGAATGATTTTGAAACAGGTTGGACATTCTGTTTTCTACTTAATGCTCCTGTTATCCATTTCGGCGATGTGAAAATTGTTACTCGGTGGGTCTGCTTCTCCTCTTTCTGCTTTTCAGGTATGTTCTTCTTTTCAGATTAACAAATTTGATTATTTACATTACTTTTTGTCGAAGATATTGGGATTTGAAGCATATTGTATTGTTGCAGATGAAACAAGTGAAATATCCCTTGCTGACATATCCATTGCAAGAAGTTTTACATGTTTATTTTAATTCAGATTTAGTACCTTATAGGACGTTCAGTGATGAGGAGTTACACACGTTAAATTAGGTGATGATGATTTATAAGTTTAGATTTTATGACTTCATTGTGTAGACCAATTAAAAAAGGTTTTATTACTTTTTTCCGTTTTTATAGTGGAAATATCTTGCTCTCTTACTTATTGGTTTGGTATAAGTGTTAATCACAATATCAGAGTCTATTGGAATTTCTACCATTGGTGATTCAAACAAATGATTCAATGATTATTGGGGTTTGTGTTATCAAGAGGAAGTTGTGGTGGTTTATTGGATTGGGTAGGGTTGGTAGGTTTACTTGGGAGGGTTGAAAGGTTAAGGATTTTTGCATGGGAGAACAAGAAGAATTGGCACATCCACAATTTAATATTTAAGATAATTAAAAAAATTAAGATATAATTGAATTTTTTATGACAATTTAATATTAATTAACCGAACAAATCGATCCATTTTAACCAATAAACCGATTAAACCGAATCCGATCAAACCGATTACAACTTTGGTCGGAATTGAGCCTAATATTTGAATCCATGGTTTTACATGGTTTGACATATTGGGCCCAAATCCAGTCCAAACCGACCGATGTCCACCCTTACAGTAAAGTGTAATTGGGACACCTGATCTGTGTCATACAGCAAGTTCCACACCAAACCACCTCTCTGTATGAAGTCCACACCATCTAACCACACTTCTGCTCCAAACACTGAATTCTAGGATCAATAACGGCAAATCAAATATAAAAGTATAAAAATAATATTTTTATCTTGAAAAATCATTCAATAAGAAAAAAAAAATAGAGTTGACAAAAATTAACAATTACAATCACAAATTAAATTAGTTTACGAATAAAAATAAAAAAATTATCAAAATTTCAGATTTTTCTCGGCTAAGTCCTAATTTCAATTCGAGGATCATTGATTTAGTGAGATTGGTTGCATAAAAACGGGAATGAGTTTCTTTCCTCTTCTCTCTTTTGAATTTTTATTTTTTCTTTATTTTTTTCAACTCTAAATTTACATTCTTTAATTAAATAAGTGATACAAATGAGCTATTTATATTTGGGTCTTTCTCCATATAAGAATGGGAATCTATACCTAATAAATCTCCTTCTCACAATTATGTGAAGGAAATCGTCAAATAGGCGATACCACCTTTAAATTTCTCTCTTGGTAACATTTTAGTTATCATATCAGAATCAATCATCTGTATAAATTTTATCTAACTTCCACAATTTAACATCCAAAATATTATGTATCCAATGATATCTCACATCAATGTGTTTGGACCAAGTCGGATATTCTTACCAAGATGAATAACACTTTGACTATTAACAAATAGCACACAAAATCAAGCTCTTGTAAAAATTTCAACAGTAACTATTTGCATGTTTCGGTAATAGCAATTAACTCAACCTCTATAGTAGACAATGTTACACACTTTTATAATCTGGACTATCAAGCCACAATTTCCTCTGCAAATTTAATCATGTAGTTTGAAATGGACTTTCTGGAATTGAAATTCTGGCAGCAGATACTCAATGTCATAGTGAATGTTATGACACCGTATCTGACTTTCTATAAGACAGTAAATAAAAACAGTAAAGAACACAGTCAATTGTTTACCCAGTTCAGTGTGAAACAACACCTACTCTGGGGGCTACCAAGCCAGGGAGGAAATCTACTATAAGAGATATTAATTCAGGAATAAACCAACTAGTTTATCTCCTTCACTTAAGACCTACCCAATGCAACTTCAATCTAAGTTCAACTTAAATCTGAGTTCCTACTCACTCCCCCTCAATCACAGCAGTGATACTTAAAACAATTGACTAATGAATTAATGAAGACACTCTTCAGAACATACACTTGATTATGCTTCACAACTTTTTAATCAAGTAACACAAACACTCTTGCTTCACAGCTTTGAGTGATACATAAACCTAACTTGACTTTGCTTCAAAGCTTTAGTCAAGAGACACAAAACACTCTTGCTTCAAAGCTTTGAGTGATACAAAAACCCTTACAATCAAAACCTATTCCAAGTCACTTATCACAATGATACTTGCTTAGATTACAGTAGTTAAAACTATACAGCTCCTAATTGATCTTCAGTCAAAAGAGTTACTTTCCAAACAACAATCCTGTTGAATATATAGCAGCTGTTTCTTCAGTTAGGGTTTCCACAAAAAGCTAGGGTTAATTAGTTTTAACCTTAAGACTTGGTCACAAGACTTTATCAACCAGATTAGGGTTGAGCTAGGTTAACCTAAAGTCCACGTGAGATTCTGTTCTGGAAAGAATGAGCCATCTTTCTGAAAAATCTCAGAATTAACCAAACTGCATATCTGTTAGATCAGTACAGGATGTCTTAACATTTGTTATGACATCAGAATTCATGTTTACTGATTTTGGTAGAAGGCAATAAATGTGATCTTTTGCAAAATGTTCAGATACACACTCATACACAGTAGCTACTGTATGCCATACTTTTTCTACATAAAGAACCTAATAATCCATAATGTTATGACATCAGTCATGACATTTACACACCTGGTTTTACCAAAAATACATGCCAATA